GAGAGAGGGGGAGTGACGGGGAGAGGGAGAGGGAGGGAGAGAGAGAGAGTGAGAGAGACAGGCAGGCAGGCAGGCAGGCAGACAGACACTGAGACTCTGGGAGCTGCTTCAGACTTCAGAAGGTCCTTAAGGCTATTTTCTTCATCAAATCATCACAAGCTTAGCAGCTGAGGAAATGAAGTCTGAGCCTCATGAGACAGACTTTACTTTTGACTAGTGGTCTCATTACAGCTCTAAGACTATTTTTAGTTGTTTCTGCTCCCTCTCCTGGTTTGTCAGCAAGCAAGAGGGAATGAGAAAGCAGGTCCCTGAAACATGTAAATAAGGCAACCCCGCCCCCCCAAGCTCCATTTTTAAAGCATTGGTGCCTTTTATTTCTGACCTTAAAATTATTTACAAATCATCATAGCAATGGAAATATCCTACCCAGGGAGCTATGCTCCACCATAAACAATACACTCCTCTGCAGCAGAGACATGAACCATTTATACCAATAAAATGCACCCTAGACCTCATGAAAGTACTGTGGGTTTAAGAAAAGTTGTTTTTTTTAATGTTTCATTTTATGTGTATGAGTGTTTTGCCTCTTGTATGCCTAAGAAAATGTCAGATTCTGTGGAACTGGAGTTACAGACAGTTGTAAACTGCCTGTAGATGCTGGGAATCCAGTCTGGGTCTTCTGGAAGAGCAACCAGTGCTCTTAACTGCTGAGTCACCTATCTCCCTAACCCTTAAGAAAAGTTATTAAATTCAAGGTTGTCACTAAGAAAGGCAATCATGTCTGAAAATTTACAGCAGTGAGAAATGTGTGAGTAAACTGTGAGAAATGGAACAAGAAAGCTGCTGGAGGGGTGGAGGAAACACAACTAAGCACTTCCAAAGGGATTCTCTGAGTTGGAACAAGGCCTCCTAGGAGCTAGGTAGCTATCTCCCAAGATCATATGAAAGATAAGCTCACACCCCGGAGAAACTGAACCAAAAGAGCTCTAGATTCAGGCTCACCACATGCAGCACAGCTGCAGGAAATCTCATGTCTAAACCAGGCATTTCACTTGTAGACTGCTCATTATAAGCAGCAGATGAGCACAGATCCAAAAAAGAGATTGTGAACCAACCCAGTAAAGGACATATGTTACTAATATTTGGGGGCTCCTAATGCAAAGTACATGTTGTTCATTCCACGGTGAAACTTTGCAGGACAGAAAACATGAAGCTGTCTCAGAAAATATTAGTGTTCTAATACTCTAGTCACCACTTCGATCCAACTAGAGATGCTAGAACAGATCTACAAATGGAATTTATTTACTGCTTCAATACTTTGCAACCAGAACTTTCAAAACCATCATTGTCTTCTCAAACTAATGAGGCAAAGTGCAGGGGTGGGGCAGTGAAATGGATTTTGGTAAGCGCTTTACCTGGCTTGGTCAAAGTACTTGCCAGTATATGCCATCCCACAGGCAGCCCCTAGTCCTTGCCCAGGCCATCCTGTTGCCACATTAACAAATGGTAGTCCCTGTAAGAGAAAAGAGACCCAGTGAATATAGGAACATCTACAGAACATGAGCTTCAAGCAGATTTCTAGTACTGAGTGCAGGCTACTTTCTTTTGTAAGTACTACAAGCAGCTACTCCTGCTGACCCATTGGAATTACCCCTCTCACCCCACTGGATGAAATCATCTTTGCCTCATCTACAAAGTCTCAGATCAAGGTCATAAGATGACCATGAGTCAAGCCTGGGGCCCACCCTAAATTGGAAACTGGGTGACAAAGACAAGGAAAATACCCATTGCCACAGAATCCATAGCATAGTGATGGCAACTGGAGCTTTTAGAATACAGAGAAAGGAACTTAAGTGCAAAATAGAAAATGTAAAGCATTTTCATAGTCTTTGGTTCAGCTGTGCACAAGTCAGATGTTAAATCTTTTGGAGAATATGGGTTCTCAAAGAACTATAAACACAAAAGTGTTTGAGTATTCTAAGCAGTGCCAATGCTTGTGATTAACTTTCTGTCACTCTACCTCCCCTTGGCTAATATCCATTAGTCTGTATACAGGTTACTAGTATTCCATGGAGAGAATGTGCTCCCCTACAGGATGAAAAGCCATGGCAAAATGCTGCTGCTTTGGTGGGAGACACCTTGCTCCTGAGCTTTCAGACACACTAAATTTATTCATTGCCACTATCCACCAAGGACAGTAGCAGATGTGAAGTGGTGTGAACCTGAGCCTAGGAGACAAGCTGTGTGAACTGCAGATGCCAGAATTGGGAAGGTGGAGCTACCCAAGCCCTTTGGAGCCCAGAGGATTATATTATGAGTGACTCTGAGATAATGGACATTGAGCTACAGGATTTGATTTATACTGCTGGATTTTGGGTTTTGCTTTAACTGTTTCTATGCCCTGGTTCTCCCTTTTGGAAGAAGAAAGTATGTAAGTTATTTTTTTTATTTTGTAGGATCTCAGCTAAGATACTTTGATCTTTTAAAGAGACATTGAACTTGTAAAGCATTGGACTTCTTAAAGAATAGGTGACTTTTAACATGGTACTGCATTTTATAATATGACATTAACATGAAATCTAGGGGATAGACAAGAAAGGAAAAGTTATGGTTTAACAGTGACATGTTTGTGTCAAGTTGACAAGAGATGGAGTATGGTGGTTAGTTTTTTTTTTTTTTTTTTTTTTTGGTTTTTCGAGACAGGGTTTCTCTGTGTAGCTTTGCGCCTTTCCTGGAACTCACTTGGTAGCCCAGGCTGGCCTCAAACTCACAGAGATCCACCTGCCTCTGCCTCCCGAGTGCTGGGATTAAAGGCGTGCGCCACCACCGCCCGGCGGTGGTTAGTTTTTATTGTCAACTTGACACAACTTAGAGTCACCTAAGAAGGAACCTCAATTGAAGAATTGCCTCAATAAGATTGACCCATTTCTATGTCTGATACAGACTGTCCTGATTGATGATTGATTTTGGAAAGCCCAGCTGCACCCCACTATTGGCAGCACCATCCCTAGGCAAGGGGATCTAGATTGTGTATCTGAAAGCTAGCTGTGTATGAGCCAGAGAGGAAAGCAAGCCAGTAAAGTATCTTGAGTTTCTGTCTTCTCTAAATGATAGATTGTGACCTAGAAGTGTAAGCCAAATAAATCCTTTCCCCTCAAGTTGTTTTTGGTCAGAGTGTTTCATTAGCAACAGAAAAAAAAACACCTAGAGTAACAAGCCCTGGCTCCCAGGTGTCTCACATGCCCTTGGAGCACAGACCTACATCTCTGCTTTCTCCTAACTGTGAAGCTGAAGGCAAATAAGTCTTAGGACTTCATCTTTTGGCATGGAGTCAGAGCCTCCACTTAGGAGTAGGAGACTATTGAGATTATGGGTGGGGTGCCAGCAAGAAGCATGACATGGCACAAGGGTCCAGAAAAGGTTCCTTACCCCACATTTCTTTTAGATAGGCTATTTTTGTAGCCCAGTCTGGCCTGAAGCTATGTAGCTTAGGCTGGCCTCAAACTTGGTACTTCTCCTTTCTCAGCTGCCTAAGTGTACAGATTACAAGTATGTGTCATCATACCCAGATAGGGTTTTCTTTTTCTTATAAACTATTATGTATTGACGGGTACAACTCAGTGGTGGCAACTAGAATAAAGGTATGTACACTCAGGGGAAGAATTAGCTTCCAGGCAGTACTTATCTTTGTTCCAGCACCAAGTATGTTTCAAGAAATTGCTCATACAAAGATATTTTGGCTACTTCCCAGGTTTACTTAGCTGGGAAAAACAAAACAAAATAACAACAAAAAAGAAAACTGATAAAACTAAAAGCCCTTCAGTTTTCGGTTGATGCTTCTTCCAAGTCATCATCAGTTTTCTGCAGGTTCAGCAAGGCAGAGTCACTGAAGTCACCTGCCTCTCAAAGCAGCACAGAGGATGGAAAAAGTATGATCTATAGGGGCCTCAGTGGAGTGAGGTGGAATGAGGCAAGAATACCAATGATGGCCAGCTGCCACATTTCATCTTTCCTGCTATACATGTCAGATGGCTCCAAGTGGGCCTCACTAGAACTTTGTACTGTGAATAAAAAAAAAAATACCAAATGGCCCATTTCAAAAGGCACCTATTGACATATGGTGTCTTTAAAGTGCAGTTTAAGAAGTAAGCATCAAGCAAGGTACACACCTATAATTCCAGAATTCAGAAGTTGGAGGTAGGAAGATAAGGAGTTCATGGTCAGCTTGTGCTACATGGTGAGTTGGAGGCTAGCTTGAGCTACACAAACCCCTGTCTCAAAACAAAACAATAAAAACCACCCCCCTGCAAAACAACAACAAGCAGCAGTATTCCCCTGTCATTATACCTTTGAAAGGATGAATCGGTCGTTGTCTGGGTTTTCTGGGTCTGCCTGTTTATATCTCATTGTGTAGAAGAACAGCACAGACATGATCTCAGCAGCACTGCTGCATGGTGTGAGATGGCTGAAAGGCAGACACAATACAAGTCATTTCTCACAGGCAAATGGTTCTCAGTGGGCACCTTGTACTTTATGTATAGCAGCAGTATACTGTGTCTTTGAACTAGAAGCAGCAGTCATTTCCCCCGGCCTGACTGAATTCAGCCAAGGATCAGGGTGCTGGGCCATGGCCTCCTATGCTTTCAGCACTAAAGGCCATTTGAGAGGTCAGCAACCTCCCAAGCCCTCTTTCTCTCTACACAGTGACATGCACTGGGCTTAGTTCAATTTGTTACTGATTTGAGCATTCTTTTACTCATATGCTATCATCTGTAGAACTTCCACATGCTTCATTCTATCAGAACCATCACATAGATTCCATTCTACTACCTAAAATGAATTTTTAAAAAATATTTATTATTTATGTACATGGGTGTTTTGTCTGTATGTATATTTCCACACCAGAAGAGGGCATCAGATCTCATGGGACTGCAGTTAGATGGTTGTGAGCCACCATGTGGTTGCTAGGGATTGAACTTAGGACCTCTGGAAGAGCAGCCAGTGCTCTTAACCACTGAGCCATCTCTGCAGCCCCTAAAATGAATTTCTTATAAGGGAGAGAGAACAGGAGAGGGGACAAAACTTATTCCCTGTAAATATTTCCCAGCTATTCATTTGACAGATCATTAATATTCAAAAGACAAGGAACTCAAAAATTTAACAACAAATTAAAGTGTGCAAATAATCAAAATAGATTTTTCAAAGAAAGAAGTGTGAATAGCTAACAAGTATATACAAAATATTTCCAGAGGCACATGCAGATGGATCTCTGTGAGTTTGAGGCCAGCCTGGTCTATAGAGTGAGTTCCAGGACAGACACCAAAACTACACAGAGAAACCCTGTCTCAAAAAAATAGCATGGGGGGGGGGCTGGAGAGATGGCTCAGAGGTTAAGAGCACTGACTGCTCTTCCCGAGGTCCCGAGTTCAATTCCCAGCAACCACATGGTGGCTCATAACCATCTATAATGAGATCTGGCACCCTCTTCTGTGTACATAATAAATAAATAAATTGAAAAAAAATACCTATGAGATTTAATATATATATATATATATATATATATCATCATTAATTACCAAGAAAATGTAAATATAAATTACAATAAGGGCCAGACATGGTGGCTGATGCCTGTAATCCCAGGATTCAAGTGGCTGAGGCTGGAAGCCAGCTTAGTGGTAGAGTATTGTCTAGCGCGTGGGTGATCAAGTTCTATCTCCAGCATCACAAAATCAAGCAAACAAACAAACAAAGATGAAATATCATCTTACCCCAGCCAAAAAAGTTACTGTAACAAACAAATAAAGCAGGGACTTGGGACCTACTTCCATCAGTAAAGTGTTTGCCAATCACCAGAACACATGCTTAAAAAACAAACAAACAACAACAAAATCAAAACCAAACAAACAAAAAACCTGGAGAAACTTCTGTACTATCTAATCATCTATCTACTTTAAGGTAAAATAGACAAGCTGGGTGGTGGTGGTACATACCTTTATCCCAGCACTTGGGAGGCAGAGGCAGGTGAAAAAGAAAAGAAAAAAAAGTAAAGTATACTTGTAATAAGCATTTCTTTTTAAATGATTTCCCCCGAACTCACTCTGTAGACCAGGCTGGCCTTGAACTCACAGAGATCCACCTGCCTCTGCCTCCTGAGTGCTGGGATTAAAGGCGTGTGCCACTATGCCCAGCTAATATTTGCCTTCTTAAATCCTTCTCTGTATTTGATAAAATAAAAGACATAAATAAACATATTTGCTTCATTAAAAAAAAGCCTGGTGTAATACCCTATAATGGTAACCTCAGCAGGTGGTGGTAGACTTGGCATAACATTAAGATGACAATGTGACTGTACTTAATACCCATAAAACAAAAATGTAAAACAAAACAAAATCTTGTGTCTCCCCCCGCCCATGAGATAGGGTTTCCCTGTGTAGCCCTGGCTGTCCTAGAACTCACTATGTAGACCAGGCTGGCCTCGAACTCAGAAATCCACCTGCCTCTGCCTCCTGAGCACTAGTATTAGAGGCGTGTGTCACCACTACCCAACCAAAATCTTGTGTCTTAAAATGCAATAAAAATTGTCTTCTTAATGTCATGGTTTAGGTTTCAGGGCAAATTATGTTTGCAGTGTTGGGGATGGAACCTAGGGCCTTGCACATACCAGGCAAACAGTGTACTACTGAGCTGTGCTCCGAACTCCAGGGAAGGATGAAAAAAAATACATGCAAAGTACTTTGTGTAACTACAAGGACATGAAATTATAAACCAACAGAAAAACAGAAAACATTCAACAGAGTTGTGGAAATTAAATAATGAACTCTTATACACACCAAAGGAAAAATATTACAAGGAAAATTAGAAACAGATGCATGAAAATAAAAACAAAAATCTAAAACTTATGCAGCAAAAGCAGTGTAAAAAAATGTAAAGCTAAAACTCATTTTTTTTAACGATTTCTAATCAATAACCTTAACTTTCCTACTTAAAGAACTACAAAAGAACTAAACCAAAAGCCTTTAAGAGAAGGAAAGAATAATAAAGATCATAGCAGATATAAAAAATAGTGCAGCAAAAGAGGTAAAAATCTACAAAACTAAACTTGGTTCTTTTTGGTGCAGTGCTAATGATCAAGCCCAGGGCACGATAGACAAGTATTTTGTACTGAAGTACAACCCACAGGACCCAAAGTTGGTTCTTGCAAAATATTAACAAAGCTTTAGCTAGATCGGCAAAACTGTGAAAAGACTGAAATAACTCAGAAAATGAAGATGAGGCTATTCTTGTCACCCCTAAAGAAATGAAAAAGAATTTTTTATAATAATGTGGATAATTGTATCCTAAAAAACTTGTTAATCAAAATAACTGAAAAAAAATTCTAGAAAGAGAAAATCTAACAGGACCTAGTTAGTATTAGGAAGTCTGAATAGACATACAATTAGTAGTTTAGTCATTGAAAAACTGTGGACAAGCTGGGTGTAGTGGTGCATAGCTTTAATCCCAGCATTCAGAAGGCAGAGGTGGGCGAATCTTTGTGAGTTCAAGGTCAGCCTGGTCTACACTTCAAATTCCAGGACAGCCAGGGTTATGTAGAGAGACAGTTATCCCAAAAAAACCAAAAGACCAAACCTCCAAACAAACAAGCCTCAAAAAGAGAGGGGCTGGAGAGATGGCTCAGAGGTTAAGAGCACTGGCTGCTCTTCCAAAGGTCCTGAGTTCAATTCCCAGCAATCACATGGTGGCTCCCAACATCTATAATAAGACCTGATGCCCTCTTCTGGTGGACAGGCATACATGCAGGCAAAACACTGTACACATAATAAATTAATCTTAAAAAAAAAACACACAAAAAAAAACCAACGGTCAGGCGGTGGTGGCACACGCCTTTAATCCCAGAACTCGGGAGGCAGAGGCAGGTGGATCTCTGTGAGTTTTCTACAAAGTGAGTTCCAGGACAGCCAAGGCTACACAGAGAAACCCTGTCTCGAAAAACGAGGGTGGGGGAAGAATAGAGCGAGTATGAATGAATTGTGGACTAGCAGCATTATAGGTCTTAATTCCAAATATTGGGAAAGCAGGAGAATCCCTTGTATCCACTTCAGGGCCAGCCTGGGCCACACAGACAACAACAACACCAAAAAGCTATAGACCCCTATCCTTCATCGAGATAGGTGCAAAATTACCTTCAACAAAGAACAAATATCAACAAATCCACTAACCATTTTTTTTTTTTTACAAGCCGTCAACTGCTTTTTTGGAAACCACACCTCTTACGTGCTGCCTCTCACATTTCCTCCTCTCTTTCCCACTCCACCTCCTGGAGCACTACCTTTCTGGTGTGCTCTCCACAGAACGTGGTTCGTTTTTCAACCTAATGTCCTGAGTAAGGGTCCGCTCAATCACGACCACCCCCTAATTCCATTGAAACTTACACACAAAACTCCATTCCTCCCTAAAGTACCAAACTAGAACTAGCCTGATAAATACCAGAGAACACTGGTCGCTCACTCGACTAGGTTCTAGATTTTTCCTTACTAAGGGAGGTCTTGTGGGCTTCCAGAACCTTGGTCACAAAGTAGTCAGGGGAGTGCCCCTACCGCCAGGGCTGAAGAAGACTATACTTCATGGGTATCTAAAGGCGGTAGGTGGTCCCAGAAGGCAGAAAATGGAGGATAACGGCAGGTTCCATTCGCCTCACAACTTCAGTAAGGACTGAAGAATCGCATGGTAAGGCCCTCCCAGGCAGCCTTACCTAGTGGTTGAGGTACTTGTGGCCCTGATGGAACGGATTCGCAGGCGGTTGGCCATGTCCCGCAACACCTGCAACGTTTTCTCATCAGGTCCAGCGTTGCCGGCCATCCCACTGCTTGCCTCAGCTTCTGACATGTTACCAGAGCGTCACGCTCCGCAGCACTAAATGGCTGCCTCAGGCCTGCGACTCAGTTAAAAGTTCCGGGGTGCTCCGCCCTGGCACTAACTGATCCCTCCGCACATATTCCACGGACTTATACCTCACTATGCAAGTCCATTCCTCCGCCACAAGTTCGTGACTCAGTTATAAGTCTATCCTGGTTATATGTTTTTCTCGCCAAATACACACACACACACACACACACACACACACACACACATCCCTCCACCACGCATGTATTCTTTTGTTGTTGCACATATAGTCTTCCACTGCATTGCACGTGTAGTCCACCGTTTTTGCACGTGTAGTCCACCGTTTTTGCACGTGCATCACTTCGTCAATGTATCCTTCCGCTTTCCACAGATGTGTAGGCTTTTCATTATACGTTTACCCCTTCACTACACGACTATGTGCTGCTTCTGTGTGGCCATTTCAAAAGAATTTTGAACATCTGTAACTTGCGTTTTCAGTTCTATACAGACTAATTCTATTTCTTTATATTTTTCTTTGTGTTATCAATTCCTCAAAGGGACTACCTCCATGTTCAGGTACAGTTTTCCTTTGGGGGCAATGAAAAAAAGTTCTGTAATTAGAGGATAATCATGTGTGACTGGACATGTAAAGAACATAGTGAACCTTGTGAAACTGAAGCTTGCAATTGAAAATAGATATAATTGTGAAGTTGATATTCACAATTTATTACCATATTAAAAAGTACACCCCCGAATTCCAAAGTTACCCTTCACAGGCAGCAGCCCAACTCCAGTAGGTTTCTAGCTGGTGAGGAGAGCTGGACTTCTTAAGACTTTAAGACACTTTTGAGCTATTTTTCTTTCTAGAACTTTCTGTCCAACAAGCCCGGAGTGACTGTTTAGTCCAAAGCTGGCCTGTAACTTGACTGCGGAGCCTGAATTGGGTGAGTTTCCATTATAGTAGAATGTATACACTTTTTCTTTGAACTTTTGGGCTATATCTTCCCATAAAGATGACACTGTTCATCTCAGAGACTTGGGATAACCTTTCACACCAGCACAGTACCCAGTGCTGTGCCGAGATTCAGTAACATGAGATTCCAAATGCAGTATCTTGACACAAAAATTAGGAGTTCCTGTGTAAATTGTCACCTGAGTGCCACTGGACTTTGCTGTTCTTGCTAGGTTAAAAGGTTCCTGCATTTAAATTTTCAGTAGATGCTGTCTGATTTAGCATAGTAAAGAATCTGAACTGATCCTATTTGCAGAGTATCTGAGTATTCCTTTCCTTACATTCTCATAACTAATAGATATTATTAGCACTTTTAATTTTTGGCAATCTGATGGATAAGTGAATGGTATTTAATTAATGCTTTGATTTACAAATTACTAATCACTTTATTTTTTTGGTATTTTCAAAATGTTTATGTTTTTATGTGTATGAATGTTTTGCCTGCATATATATATATATATATATATATATATATATATATATATATATATATATATATATATACCATGTATAAGCCTAGTGTCTAAAGAAGTCAATTTTGGATCCCCTGAAACAGAAATTACGAATGGTTGTGAGCCACCTTTTGGGTGCTGGGAATCCAACCAAGGTCCTCTGTAAGAGGAGCAACTGCTCTTAACCACTGAGCAATTTCTCCAGTCCCCTTCCTACCTTTTTTTTTGTAAAATATTTGTTGCTCATTCGAAGTTCAGCCTATCTGAAGTATGTGATACTATCCTTTGATATTTTTAGTAAGGTTGTTCTTCAATTACAAATTTGTATGATTTCCTTAAATATGATGCTAATTAGTCCTTTATTTCATATATTTAGTCTTTGTCCTTTAATCTATATCTGTTTTTAGTTTTTAATGGTAAGGTAGATATTTTATTTTTTTTTTAAAAAAAGTGAAACAAAACCTAAATTGTATCTTCCTTTTTTTCTTTCCATACAGTAGGTTATAAGAGTTTTTAAGGTAATAAAATATGTAAATCTTTTTTCATGGCATTTAGGCCTGAGCATTGCTTAGAAAGGTCTTTTCTATTAAAAGATTGTAAAAATGTTTATTACATACTTTAATTTTTCTTTAATTATCCATTTAATTAATTTATTTTATGTGTATGAGAGTTTTGCCTGCACGTATGTGTGTGCTCCACATATGTGTCTAGCACCCGAGGAGCTCAGAATAAGGGATCAGATCCCCTGGAACTGGAGTTACAGATGGCTGTGAGCCACCATGTTGGTGTTGAGAACTGAACCCAGGTCCTCTGTAAGAGCAAGCAACAAATGCTTTTAACTGCTAAGTGTCCCTCCAACCCTCCTTTTTTTTTTCCCCGAGACAGGGTTTCTCTGTGTAGCTTTGCGCCTTTCCTGGAACTCACTTGGTAGCCCAGGCTGGCCTTGAACTCACAGAGATCCACCTGGCT